TATATATGTACAGGGTGGCTGAAAAGTATAGGACGCCACATTTGTAAAAGTAACTTCGAACATATGGGACAGGTAGACAAATCTACTACATTGAGTATTAGAGTAGAGCCGTATGATCATTTAGGAGAGGAGGCAATCGAAGTTTGGTCCTTTCGCTTTTACACGAGCGTCTTTTCGTTCGATGACTGAACCAGAAGCGCGCCGCACGTTCTCTACGTCGATATTGTCTTTCGTCTCCTGAAGCAGCAACGTCAGAGCGTCGAACGAGCGGTAGGAGCGTCCCGTGATCTTGCCCTTCAAAAGCCCCCATACAGTGAAACTCAATGGATTGAGCTCCGGCGAAGAGGGAGGTCAGATGTCTTTTCTCCTCCCGGGAAAGTGTGCAGCAGGCACGGCTTCCGCCGATTTTGAGGCATGCGAATGAGATCAATCTTGTTAAAGGGTGAACTATCGGTCACTGAAGTGCTCACTAACCCAGATCAACAGGGCGTCCATCAAAAGTACCTTTTGGTGAAACTCGGAGCCGATTTTCTTATTTCTGTCAATGACGGCTAGTATTTTTATTTTGCATTTCGATGTCACCCCAGCTCAAATAATCACACTATCGCCAGATGGTCGGCTACGCATGAGACGACGTTTTGGGAATATGTGTCAGCTTTCGGCAATAACTGTCTCTGCTTTTCACGGTTTAATAAGGTCCTACTGTGGAAATTTCCTCACCACTCCAGATCAAGTCAGAGATGCGGCACGCCACGAGCTCTCGAAGAAGCTTTTTGCATTTTATCAGCTGACTTTGTTGGAACTGCTCCGAAATAACTGTCGCCGACAGAGCTGATAACTGTTCAGTTTGATGTCGCATTTCACAATTCACTGAACAATTTGACGGCTGATGTTGGGGGCAGAAGCAACCCGATCCATGCTGACGCCATGGTTGCTGGTGATCCTCTTCCTAATGATGGCACGAATCCTCGGTGTGCTCGCTGTTCTCGGTCTTGGCCTTCCCTCTTCAACCGTTCGAAACGTCTCTGCTATTCTCAGGGCGAAACGTCTCTGCTATTCTCAGCCTCTGAGATGCCACTTTTTGGCATCTCAGAGGCTCGTCCTCGAGCCAAAAACCAAAAATCAACCCATAGTGGGAGCCCCGTCACCGGACCGGATTCCCGGCCTCTCGACCGATGGCGTGTCAGATGAGTGCCGAGGCGATACCGATTGCAATATTCCAGGACTCACACGTTCAGCACGCAGCCGTTCGTTCAGCATGCCGAGTGATAGGCGATGTTTTTCTCCTATTGTAGTACCAGTCGGTTCGCCCGGCTTCACTCCTTTGACAAAGCTCTAGTATCGGCTAACTCTTCACTCCTTCCTTGAAACAAACGATATTTTTCTGAACATGAAGTTAGACTCAGGACTAACGGAGCAGTGCAAACGGTATTAAGTGAAGGTCGGTGCATACGCCTTCGATTGGAAGTGTCGACCTTTTGCTCTCTTTTTCAAAAAGAAAAACCCATCAAAAATTCAACTGTTATAAAACCAGTCTTAGACGGTACTCCTTACAAATTTTTCGTGTAATGCGACACCATTGTGTCGTTATCAAAGGACCTTTTCCTACGAAGATTAGTTGAGTTTAATTTATTTAATTTATTTTCTTTTTAATTAGTTGAGAATTCTGGATCATTGGCGGTCGGTTAAGTTTTGTCGCAAATGATATCGACCAAGAAGACCAGACTCTCATTGAGTCACAGACCTTGTTGGGTAGCGGTCGTCTAATCTAATAGCAAGAAATGAACAGAATTCTCTTCTGCTTATCGTAGTGCCTCTAGTGGGCCCTACCACTGCACTTACCACTCACTTCTGTCACACTCGCTACCATATCATCTTAGCCAATGAAACATATTGAGCAGTCAAAGCTACATCGTATACCAAAGTTAGGATTTTGGTCGGTAGGTGATTTCTCTTATTTACCTTATCTTCCCTCATCAGCTGTTTTCGATTTCCTTCACCGAGTATCTACGATCCTGTCATATCCTACATCACTATCGAGGTTTTACTTCGAATGCCAAAAGCTGTAAGCCTACCGAGTTTGGTACTTCTTTGGTTCTTCGTTTAGAACTTCTTTGGTTCTTCGCGCACGTCCGCCCCCTGTAGGCGTAGTCTGGCCCTGCTGCCTGCCATAAGAATTCTCATTCTGCCTACTGTACTCCTACCAAATTTCAACACTGTAGGTCCACGGGAACAGGAGTTATGGATTTGAGGCTCAAAATTTCGATCGCGCATGCCCCGCAACCTGTGGACGGTGTCCGGTCCTGCTACTTGCCATTAGTGTTCCCATCCTTCCCCCGTACTCCTACCAAATTTGAACTTTCTAGTTCCAGGAAACAGGAGTTATGAATTTTTGGTCGGACACACACACATAAACACACCGACAAACCAAGAGAGGCACTTAGCGAACTGTATATAACCAGGCGGCTACGCACGCTATTGCGTGCGCTAGGGGCTTTACTCATGAGAGACGGAGCCACATGAGCTTCTGATTTTCATATAGACCTTTATCATCTGAGCCTTTTGCTTGACACTTCTGTAGCGGATATCATTTTTCTGGGATCTGAAATGGGGCTGTGTGTGGCCGTGGAGAATACTCCGATGTATACAAATCAAATATCTCTGCAATCCATGTATTCGAAGAAACCCTGTGCAGTTTGGGCTGTGTGGTGCCATAAACACTAATTTTGAGAGAACAGTACCCTTGAGTATTTGTAGGGATCTACACATCTCTACAGGGTACCCACCTGTGTGGCTGCGGTTATGGCAAAATTTATTTTATGAAGTCTAAAGTTAATGTAGAGCATTTGCTCTTGTGTAGAAGGGACTACCGTGTGTGGAACCATGGGCACTAACTTTTAGAGAATTTTTAGCCTAATTTTGAAAGAGTTCAGTGGTATACCCTAGCTGTACACCTATGTGTACACCTACATCTTACCACTTCCTTCCCGCGACCCAAAACGTTTCTGAACAGAGTTGTAAACTTTTGATCTAAGCTCCGCCCACTATAATTCCAACCCCGCCCACTTCGAGGGTTCGGCCACATTTGCTCTTTTACACCATAACACCGTTTTGCCGCATCCCAGACCGTTTCTGAACAGAGTTATACATTTTCGATCTAAGCTCCGCCCGCTTTAGTGTCAACCCCGCCCACTTCGAGGAGTTGGACGCATTTGTCCTTTTACACCTTATCACCTTTTTGCCGCATTCTAGATCGTTTTCAAGCAAAGCTGCACTTATTTTTTAAAAAGTGGCTTTCATCTCAACGCGCGCCCCGCCCATCGTGGGGGAGCTTAAGCATGCCCAGCACGCATGATGCCCTGCTCACTCTTTATTTTTTTCGTGGCGTCTGCGCCTTAGTTGAATCGAGTTATGAACACATCTGAAAAGTACCGCCCATTTTGAGAAAGCTCCGCCCACAGCAGGTGAGTCTCCTCCAACTGGTTTATTGACCCAATCCTCACCTCTGCTCATTTTTTCCCGTTGTCTGGACTTTCTTGAGGCAAAAATTAGATGGTCAGCTCTTGGCACCGCCCACTTCGGTACTTGCCCCTCCCCCACGTGGGCGGAGCGCCGCAGAGCTCGTACGTGCTCTGTTAATCCTGTCTCAGGCCTCACCCATCCCAAACTTGTCCCGACCTCTACAGGTGTTTTCTCCGGTGAAACCGAATTGCGTGAACACACAGACATACAGTGCGTTTCATAACTATAAGGTCACCCTCGATTTTTGCGAATCTGGAGCAAGCATTCGGAATGGAATTTTTTGGCAAACACTGGAAAATTCCTCATCACAATGTACCTCCGTATTCAAACTTTAGCCGCAATATCCTTCACCTCAAACTTTTTATGAATTTTTTAAGGATGTCGGCTTTTGCACCATTTCATAATTATAAGGTCACCCTGAGAAAGTAAATGATTTATTAACGTTGATGGCATATGTACAACACTTAATAATCTATAGCTCCTCCTTGTTCAAGAGCAACATCAAAGAGCCTAGGTGGCATACTATTATAGAAACTAGTTTTCGACGATGTTCCTCATCGATTGCTCTCCATGCTTCGATAACTGCCCGCTTCAGCTCTTCTGTGCTCTGGAACTGGCGGTTATTCGCATAAACCTGTCTAACTATAGAACCCCAGATATTTTCCATCGGATTGAGATCGGGACTGTAGGCTGGCAATGGCAGGACGCTTATTTATTGGCATTGCAGTCACTCATCCGTTGCACGGCTCACGTGAATGGAGGCGTTGTCTAGTTGGAAGACATAGTTGAGGTGACGGCGATGGCATAGAAAGGGTACTAGATGATGCTCCAAGACGTTTTTGGTAATCCTTGAAATTCATACTGCAGCTCACGACAAGTAGATCGAACACGACATCATTGCAGAATGCACCCCACACCATAGACTTCCTCCACCGAAATTGCGACGGCTGAAGTAGACTGGTTTCTTTCTCAAAACGCGNCAGTACCGCTTGTTTCTGTTAGGACCGTCTAGATTGAATTTTTTTCATCCGAAAAGACGACCTGAATAGGAATTGTTCAGCTCTATGGTGAAATTTTGATGAAGATCTACATTTGCCCAATCTCTCCCTAGGTTCATCTTTGCAAATCCGAGTCGAGCCTCTCTGTGGCGATCGGTGATTCGTGGCACCTCCTCCATTGCTTGCCTGGTGATGTTTTCACATCTTCTCACTGCTCTCCAGACTGCAGTTTTCGACATAGAGAGGTTTAATTCCGATCGGATCTGGTTCAAGGAGGACGTACTGTTAGAAACAGTCCTCAGAATCTTCTGCTCGTCACGGGCAGTAATCTTTCTTAGGGGTCCACAGTAGGTGTTATATCTAGGGACATCAGGGCTCTCCAGAAATCTTTGAATGGACCAAGGGGATCTCCCTATTTGCCTGGAGATGGCTTGAGTAATGAGCCCGCCTTCATGACGAACTTTCTCATCAGAAGAAAGCAGATAACCATGAGCAATGTTGACGTCAGGTTTAGAAATGCATTAGCTACATATGCTTACCTTTATAAGTATCTTCAAACACGAAATTTCCTCTCCTCCATGAATAGTTGCTCACTTTCTCAGGGTGATCTTATAATTATGATACGGTGGCAAAACCCGATAAATTGTTCTAAAAAAGTTGAAAAATGCAGCTGCGGCTAAAAACCGGTTACTTAGGTTATCCCTGCTGGGGAATCCGTTCATGATGCTAGAAAAGATCCTTTATGGTTGCTTCTTTTGAAAGTGCAAAATTCGAGGGTGACCTTATAATTATGAAACGCACTGTACATACAGTAGCGCTCAAAAGTCTTCCGTGAAATGCTTTGACGCTTTTTCGTTCATAACTTTTTTCTTAGTAGACCAAATCGCGCAAAATTTGGATATGTTTAACTAGACCATATTTCACCCTACCCAACAATATTTGACTGCGAAGCTGCAATATCCACAGATAGAGCAAGGTGTTTGTTGCGGTAGCAGGTTTTGCTAAAAGTAAAGTTGTTGACGCCTGCACTTATTGGCACCTTATGTGCGTTATTCTTCTCTAGTGTGTTCGGCGTTACCGCTCGTACAGTTTAGACATGACAAAAAGGAAAGAGATTCTAAAAGGACCATCATTTGTATTTTCAGTCGATTTTGAATTCATGCTCTTTGAGATATCTGGAACATGGTCAGATTGCAGTTTAATAGTGGTAAATATTCACAGTACACTCATGCTCCGAATATAGAAATTTCGCATGATCAGATTCAGTAGGAAAGGAGTTACGACTGAAAAGTACGGCTGGAGCACCATTTCACCGAAGACTGTTGAGCGCTACTGTACATACATATTACAAACAAACAGACACACCAAACTTGTGGTTTATACAGTAAGGATAAGATTCCCTGTCATTTCTTTGCTGCTGCGGTCCTTATCTAGTTTTCTATCCCAAAAGGATTTATTCCTTGCTTGTCGCTGTCGGGTGGATCAGGTAAGTATTTCACGTACTTGAAGGTAAAAATGAATCTGAGGAGTGCCAGCGCGCTTTTATGCTCTGACACTAGACGGCGGAGTGTATAAAGGCCGCCCAAGGGTAGGAGATGTGTGTGAGATGACTATCTCCACTGCATCGAACCATCTCGGCGCTCTAGCGCGGTCTCTATACACTCTACCGTCTGTACCCAAAATTTATAGTGAACTGTACTTTTGAAGATGTTGCGGTAATGCTGTCTTAAAAACAACTATGACTGCTACTGACTGCTACACTGCTAAAAACGTCCCATAAGCGGCTACTCTCTCACTGCGGTGCACGAAATTGGTCAAA